AAGCATTGACAGGCTCCTTTGAGAGGACTGCTGCTAATCTCACGACTTCCTATCACTCTGTGCTCTTTTTCAGTATCTCTTGCATATAACTGCGATTTCTTATTTCTTTAGCCTTTGTTTGCTCCATAGACTTCACATGTTTTCCTCTTAGAACTGGGTCAAGCTGGTCCTAAGCTGGAGATCACTGGATCCGAGTAAATTAAAGCCGTTTGAAGAGAAGTGCTGATAAGTTTCTTAGGATTATTATTGTTGAATTTTTGAATTTCCTCATTTTGTCTTTTCCAGTTTGGTGTCATTATGTCTGGAGAATGAGCAGTAGCGAAGATGCGTTCGAGTCAAAAATCGTTTTCCTCCAGCACTCAGCCCTTACATACATACCCTCTATCATCCTCATCTCGAAATGGCTCAATTAGCGCAAAATCAGGGAGTAGATACGAACGATTATCAACACCTCCTGCCACTCAGTATAATCAGTACAAGGACCGAGCTCCGTTTCTGCGCGACTCAGGAAGAGAAGCTGGGGCAACTCCAATTTTTGGACCATCTTCTGACTCCCGAAGAGCGTCAGAAGATCACAAAGTTTATGATAGTCCAGTGAGTTCGAGAGTAATACGTAGTGAAGAGACCAATGCTCTCTTAGAACGCTATGGAGTGAGAAGATCTTCTGCTGGTCAAAGCTCTATCCAAAACTACCTGCAACAGCGCAGACAGATACACTCGAATTCAAACGAGGGACCCACCGTAAGACCTAATTCAGATAATAGTGACTTCGGGACCACCATCGGCGATGGGTTGCACGCAATGCGCTTTACTGAATTCCAGGATCCAAAGCAAACGAGTGCTGAAGAGCACATTACACAAAATGAGTACATTAGTCGATTACTTGCGGCACATAACCGCGTCGATGAGCTTTTAAAATCCAGGGGTTTGAGTGCTGAGGACGAATCAAAGTACTTACGTGCTTGGGAGAAGATTCCAATCGTCCGCAAACAAGGATATCAAAGGGTGTTAACACCAAGTAATTCGAGCGATTCCGGTCTTTCCACGGATGACGAAAGCGAGCCTAGTAGTTCGGAGAGCATTAGCGAAAATGAAGTTAATTGCAAGGAAGACTTTACAAGGGATGAGATGTCCGAAACCTGCATAAAGATAATTGCTGTACCTTCAGAACTTCTTCGGTCTTCATTAACTTGTCGAGGATCAACCTTAAAAGTTGTAAATGCATCTTTTGTAATCGGCTGCAAGCCATCATTCAGGCCGATGTCGAGTTCGCGTGCCACAAAATTGCTCCATTTCGAAGAAAGCGATGTTATATGCATAGCATCTTCTTACGCTATGCAAAGCACTTCTTATTCCTTAAAACATAAGCAGCAGTCTGTCGCGGTCGCGAAAGTAATGCCAATCCGCTATAAAGGAGAACATATTGAAGCATCTTTTGAAGAAACAAAGTTAGTAAAGTTTAGTGACTCTTTCGTTGATATCAAACATAGCGACATTAGTCCAGAGGCAAAGAGGCACAAAGATGTGAGACAGCAGATGAAAATGAGATCAGGCAAGCCAATTCCAGTCGCAGAGCAGCAGAGAACTGTGCTTTCTAATCTAATATGCAGAGCAAAACCTTCTGTTCCGTCTACAGCAGAAATATCCATTCAACACTGCAGCTTTTATCAAATTTCCTCCAACGCCGTAGAATCTTTTCCCGAAAAGCATGTAAGGATCAATTTGAGACTCACAGAACGTGCTCCAACAAAATGTTCTACTGTAATCGCGCTTCCCACCACAACGCGTCCATTATTTGCATATTTGACTGTGAGTTCCAAAAAAAAGAAGACCATACGTCGCGCAAAAACCATGCAGAACCCAGATGCGGAAGAGCCTATTGGCAAGTTGAATCGTTCTATGTCAATTGAAAGAAGCAAGGGAATAAAACAGCGAAAAGTAAATCGCATAGTTATCCCAAACTCATTTTTACATTTAACAAGTTTGAAAAGTTGCGCTCAGCAAGAACACGGACAAGCTGAAGAGGTGAAAAAAGAGGAAAAAGAGTCACTGGAACAAGTA